AACAAATGGGAATTTGCTGGTCACCACTTTGGAGATGACACGGGTCTACCATCTTGCTTTAATGCTGCAGCCCTTGCTTTGAGGGAGAGGGAATTTCAGCACTGATGCCTGACAGGGTTCAGCATCCCCCCAAATGCTGTCTGTCCTGAGCTGCACTGGGCACACAGAGGGTCTCATGGAAAGGTGGCACAGACCACAAGTCTAAAGAGCAAAGCATGGCATGTTTGCGGCGTGTAGAAGTCTCAGACCACCCTGATCCGTGGCTCTAAGCACAGAACCGGCTGGGCTGGGTCTGAAACTGAAGAAGTTTCTATAGTCTGATAAAATTACGAGTGACCCAGAAAAACTCCCTCACTCTTTCCATGAGCAGAAACACAAGGGGAGGGAGCAGGGCACTCGATGAATTATGAAACGCTCGGAAGTGAAAGGCTGTGCAGACAAGTGCTGAATATTTCATTCCCTCTTTCTGGGCTCTTGCCTGCAGGAGATGTAGGCTGGGAGGGGCTCAAGGAAGGAAGGCATCACCCCAAACCTCACACCATGCGTCTTTCTGGTAATTCTCACACATACAAGCTGACCTCAGGTCTGTGAGCAGAGCTGGGTAGTGCAGAGGCACGTCTCACAAGAGCTTGCAAAGATGTGTGAAGAAAGTGTTGAAAGGGCCAACGTCTCACTTCTGAGGAGGCAGGAGCAGATGCTCATTGCCTGTTTTCATGGTTCAGATATTGCAGCAGGGGAAAAGCTGTCAAAGAGCCAGAACTGGTGCTGAGATTCCTGCTTTTATCCAGTCCTGCTGCAGTAACAGCATGCAATTATGAGCACATATGGGCAGCATGTGCTTTGACTGGACTCAGCTGAGAGAGCAGGAAAGTGCTGGAGGTGGACGTGATGCTTTTCCAGCCTCTGCGCTTAGAATCACAGAATTATAGGACCATAGAAAATCCTGAATTAGAAAGGACTCACAGGGATCATTGAGCCCAATCCCTGGCTCCACACAGGTCCACCCAACCCAAACCCTATGTCTGAGAGCGCTGACCCAAGGCTCCCTGAGCTCCATCATCTCAGGGCTCTGCCCACTGCCCTGGGAGCTGAGCCATACCCACCAACCTCTGGGGCAGAGCTTTTCCCTAACCCCCACCTGATCCTTCCCTGACGTAGCTCTGAAGTCTGTCCACGCCACAAGCATGCTGCAGATGGTTTCTGACCTCATGCCACAAATCCTTGTGATGCTGGGAGGGGGGATGATTATGTCCAGAGACTGTATCCTCACCCCCTGCATTACAGAGCTCACGTTTCACAAGGAGCATGACATTCAGACATGTCAGCTGAAGTCTGTCTGGACAGTGACCTAGACAGGCTGAGAGGAACGTGATGAGGTTCAACAAGGGTAAGTGTAGAGCCCTACTTCTGGGGAGGAATAACAGCACACACTCGCACAGGTTAAGGGCTGAGCTGATGGAGGGGAGTTCTGCAGGGAAGGACCTGGGGGTTCTCATCGACCAGTGGTTGACCAACTGTTCACCAGAGGTTGACCAGCAATTGACTAACAGTTGATCAAAGGTTGAACATAAGACAGCAATGTGCCCTGGTGGACAAGAAAGCCAAGGGGACCCTGAAGTGCATTGCACAGAGCATGGCCAGCAGGGGAAGGGAGGTTCTCCTCCACCTCTGGAGGCCACATCTGGAGCACTGAGCCCAGTGCTGGGCTCCCCAGTTCAAAGAGGACAGGGAACTGCTGGAGAGAGCCCAGAGAAGGGCTGCAGAAATGATGGGGGCCAGGAGCATCTCCTGGTAAGGAATGAAGACTGAAGAGAAGGCTGAGAGGGGTTCTGATCAATGTTTATCAATATCTAAAGGGTGGGTGTCAAGTGTTTGGGGTCAGGCTCTTTTCAGTGGTGTGCAGTGACAGAACAAGGGGCAGTGGGTGCAAAGTGGAACACAGGAACTTCCATATAAACATGACAAAGAACTTCTTTTCTGTAAGAGTGCCAGAGCACTGGAACAGGCCGCTCAAAGAGGTGATGGAGTCTCCTCCTCTGAAGATATTAAAACTCATGCTTTAGTGTGTTATCTGTTCTAGGGAACCTACTTTAACAGAAGGATGGACTGGTGGATCTGCAGAGGTCCCTTCCAACCCCTATGGTTCTGTGATTCTGTTTGCTCTTCTTAACCTGTTTCCCCTACAGCACAGCAGGAGGGCTGTGTGTGAAATGCCCCCTGGAGACATTTGCTCCCTGTTAGAATCTGGGGTTCTTTTCCTCCTCTCTTTGCTATGCACTTTGACAGGGTCAGATCCAAATGTCTCTAGGGAGTGCTGCTGTCCAAACACATTGCTGCTACTGTGTCCTAAAGCTTTCAGACTGCAGATTGCTGCAGCTCCCACAACAGCTACACCAAGGACATCCCCAAGCTGTGCCCCAGGTCCTAAGGCACTGTTGGTGTGAGGAGATGACAGAATATGAGATGGTCAGTGTCACCAACTGAACCCATCACCAACACCATACCTTAACTGACTCATGGCTGGAGTTTGCAGCCTACAGGGAGAGGTGGATATTTGTTCACCAGAAGAAGTATCAAGAAGCAATAGGCACAGTCTGTGGCTTGGGAGATTCATGTTGGATGCTGGGAAAATTTTTTTCCCCAGGAGGTTGAGACAGACTCAAAAAGGTGAGCAAAGCGCTGGGGGATCTGCAGCCCCCCAGGTTTGGCTGGAGAAAGCCAATGACCATCTTCCACCAGCACCAGTGGTGTCCATGCTCAGTGTAAAGAGGCTCTTCCACACAGCAGGTCTGAGCCAAACACAGCAGTCCCTGAACTAAAAGCTCAGTGTCCTGCTGTGAGATGCCTTCAGAAAAACTGCAGCTCAAGACTGGTTTGCTGCTGGAGCAGCAGGTGTGAGCCCCATGCTGAAGGGGATTTCAGATGGGAAATATATGTTCAGCTAATGTAAATTGAGCACAGGCATGTTCTCACCCCCTGCAATTGCAAAACAAGGCAAGGTAGCTTGAAACCACTTTACAGCACTCTCCACAGCTTAAATGGAAAGTTGAAATGCCCCAAGCTGTGGTGCTGCAGTTGCAGTGTTGTCCTGCCTCCAGCATTACCCTGAGGATGCTAAAAAGGAATGTGGAGGCAGCCTGAGCTCAGGGCAGGTTTTGTGGAGATCAGGCTGCTTCCAGGCAGCTTCAGCTCATTTTGCATTTCCCACTACACTGGTAAGGGGTGTTCCCACCTACAGACACGCCTTCTGTAGGTCCACAGAGGTCCAAGAAGAGCAGAGAAGCCACCACCGCTGCATCTGAGAGTTGTGCAGCATTTCCAAGGGGCTGTGATGTTCCCCCTAAGTAGGCCATGTGGTGAGTGGTGTGTGATGGAACAACAAGAAGACACAGTCCTATTTCTGGTCAGACACCTTGGGACTCCAGGTGAGTCCACCTCCAAAGTCAGTGCAGACACAGCACCAGAGTTGGGGCTAGATGGGGGGTGGGAGAAGATCCCTCCATACATCAATGCATGTTGTAGGCAGTTCCCATCTCCCCCTTTGATATCACATCCTGATAAATCAGCAAAAAAAAAAATCCCAAAAAATTCACTTAACCAGCAGCTATTTTTATTTTTGTTTTCGCCAGAGTAGAGCACTGCAGGAACATTTGCATGCCATCAAAGATCTTTGCTGTCATCAGTCTCATAGCACTGGAGGTGACATGCAAGGCCAGCGGTGTAAAGCAATGCCACACTGCATGTTTCAGGACTTTTTCCACATTGGGTGTTTCTTGATTCACAGCTGGCTCTTTGCTCAGGCTGACTCAGCCCAGCCTGGGAAGATCCCTCTGGTGCAACACCAGAACACAGAGAACATAAAGTCACAGCTCTCTGACAAGCCATAAGCCAGCAGATAAGTAATGGCTTTTATTAGAGAGCTCTCCTTGGTATCCACTGTGGGTTTTGATTTAATGAACGTGGCTGCTTTTAGTGCACACTGTGCTGCCCTCACTGCCTGCGAGAGCGGTAGAGGGCAGAGAGCCCAGGTAAGATTTGCAAGGAGCAATGAAATGCCTTCAGCCTGCTCATCATGGAGGAGTTTGGGTGGTGATCAGATGCCTGGGGAGAAACAACCGTGGTGGCAAGGAGGTGTTGTGTGACCTCACCTCAGCCTTGGCATTTGTTGCAGCTCACAGTAGAAGTCAGCATACCCATGCCTGAGCCCTCAAGCACAAGAGTAGAAACAAATTCGGAAAGAAGAAATATTTTAACGAACCCTTGACCCATACTTGCTGTGGATGTCTCCCCTGAGACATGTGGTCCCAGCTCAGGTGAGGCTGTCAGCTGTTGCAGGATGTGCAACAACTACATGGGGACTGAGTTTGGTGTGGCCCATGCACAACAGACCACAGAAACAATGATATTGTAAGATCAAATCAAAGGACCACTGGATAGTTCAGATTTGAAGGCTCTTCTGAAGTTCTCTAGTCCAGCCTCATGCTCCAAGTAAAGTCAGCATCACCTGCAGCAGGTTGATCAGCTTTTTATCCAGTTGGGTCTTGGAAAAAGTAGGATGGAGAACCATACAGCTTCTCTGGGCCCTGCTGCACTTCTTGAGGGTATACAGCACCATTTCCAGATGGGAAATCCATGAGGACATCCAGCAGGGTGGCACATCCAGATGAGATGTCCAATTTGGGTTCCCTTAGTTGTACCTTAGTAATTTAAGGCTGATTGTTCTCAATGTTTCCTTGGCTTTTTTATCCCAGCAGCATTGTCTCAACAACAGCTTCTCCTCTGCCTATCTCTTTAATTAGAATCTTTGGCCCTGCATCTCCTGTCTAGATCCTCACAGGGCCAACACGCTGCAAAATAACCAACTAACTAAATAAATAAATAAAGCAACCCAAACAACCACACATGCTCTGGTGGCTCTTGGCCATCAAAGTGCTTTCCCACTGAAAATGTCCTGTGCTGGCTGCTCACTGCACCTCACCTGACTTTTCTTTGTTTTGTAGGCTTATCGGCACTTTCCGGATGGTCCTGCAAAAGGTGGTGGAGGAAGGGCACGTGGAGGTGATGGATACGCTCATAGATGACAATAATTCGGCCATCCAGGTAGGTTGCAAGGAGTGATTGGCCATAACTGCCTTTCAGAATCAGGTCCATCTGTCCATCTGCGTCTCCGCCAGCCCTTTCTATGGGAACAGCCAAGCCTGTGTTGTGCACCTGAATGCCCGAATCCTCACCTCCATCCCATTACTCTTGGTGTAAAGGTCAGTGGCTCTGCAGGTGCAAAGGATTTTCTGCAGAAGCAAAATGAGAACAAATCCCCTTTTTTCCCCTTAGCCTGCACACAGACAGGGTACAGTTGCTTGCACGCAGCTCAGAAACAACGTGAAAATGTCCTGTCACCAGTGACCCAATATGGATCACCCATTTCACCCACTTCACCCACCCTTCACCCACTTCCCCAAACTAAGGGATAAAATCCCCACCTGCAGCTCCGCGCTGCGTAACTCAGCACATTTCAGGGCTGTTTAATGCATCTCATAGGAGCTGTTTCCCATGGAGACTGCATTTTATAACTTAGGAATACAGTGCCTTTTGGTCTTGTGCATCAAAAACCACGGTGTTTTGTCTAGACATGAAAACTTAGCCTCCTTCCTCTGCTAGACGCAGTGCTTTCCTATCCATTTATAAGCAGCTTTCTAGGCTCAGCATTAAGATGTGCAATTGCATGTAACACTTTAATTGTATAACCCTTGTGTTAATGACAAGCAATTAGCAATAAAAAGACCGATGGTTTCATTAGCAGGAGACACAAGCTGGCTTGTTCTATGAGGGTAAAGAGAATAAAAGCAGAAGGAAAACCAGTCCTAAGGAGGGAGAAGGAAATGGAGAAAGCACAGACTGAGGATGCGATGATGATTTCAGGACAGGAGAAGTCACCTTCTGATATTTCCTTGGTTTTTCCTGAAGTCCATGGAAACATCCAAAGGAGGAAAACCCCATATATTCAAGACTGCTCAGTATCACAGGGGGTGATAGGAAAAATCAGCAGATGGAAATTAAATCTGGGCAACTTCTTGATGTTGAAAACGATGACATTTTAGGATGAGCTAACTTAGGACTGGATGATCTTTCAGGTCTTTTCCAACCTTGGTGATTCCATGATTCTATGACTGAGGAGGTCCCAGCATTGCCTGGTGCCTTGGAGCCTGGCTGGCCACTTACTGGGGCAACACAAAAGGTGGAGGGAGGTGATTTTCTGTCCTTCAGCTCTTTACAAGCCAAGAGCATCTAACTGGAGGCACCTGCAGGACAAACAACCTTCCCCATGGCTGAACATGCTCACCAGCTCCCCTCTGAGTACCCAATGTCTGCATCCCCTCTGCATTTTTTTTTAAGTTGGTAGCTGTAGAATGCTCTGGAAAATATAAATGCTGAGTGTTGTGTATTGCTATGGATCAGGACAGCACTGGGAAGGCAGATGTGACAGGAAGACAGATGAGATGATGAAACCCCTCTATCTTCTGCAGATCGCAAGCCATGTACATTCACACTCACAAATCTTGGGTTTCAGGAGCTTGCTTTGGGCAGAAATGTCATGTCCCTTTATTTCCCCTTCATTTCTGGGACATCTTAGCTCCAAGTCTCCCCTGTTGAAATCAGAGCCAGGAGGTGAGGGTGTGTGTTTGCATTTTGGGCTTTTGGCTGAATTTCAGTCCCTTCTCCCATTCAGTCTCCATAGCAACTTCAGGGGCACAGAGACAAATGAGCTTCGTGAATTCCCTCCCCAAACCCCTGCTGCCAGGCATTGCTCCAGCGAGGGGATGAATTCAAACTGAGGGAGACCTGAGGAGAGAATCCAGAGGGCAACGCCTGGGATGTTTGCTTGGAGAATGATTGTGGAAATATAATATAACAGTGGGCATATGGAATGACACGGAGTTCTTGGAGACCCCCACCATCACCACATCTTGAACTCAGAACAACAGGGGGCTGAAAAATGATGGGATGTTTTGAGGAGGCGGAGGTGGGCAGAAAGCAATTTCCAGGCACAGCTTCGCCTTTCTGCAATCAAACACAATGGAAGGGTCGAAAAATGTTTTTTCTTTTTTTTTTTTTTTTTTTTTTTGCTGACTGCAAAGCATTGCTGGCAGCTTCCAGCTGACCCTAATAACATTATTGACTTGTCCTAGCAAAGGGCTTAAAAAACCAAAGAATTGTGGAGCCAGGAGGAATTTCATATTGGCGTAATCTGCCCTTCAACAAGAGAGCCTCTGGAACAACTCAGAACTCGTTATTATTGTCTCATCAGGTGGGGGAAAAATAAAAATGAAGAAAAAACAACACCAAAATGATATTTGGAAGTCCAATGTCAGAGGAATCCAACAGCACTTCAATGAATCATTTCTCTGAGTAATTTTCTTTATTGTCACAACTCAGAGTTTTCTTCACGGTGTGGATTTCTCTCAGTTTCAGCTTTCACCTACTATTTTCCCTTTCAACTAGTGATGACTTGAATAAAGTCAACACAGCCCAAAACAAAATCTCACCTTTTATTGCACTGACAGTTTCCCATTTCTTTTCATCCATTCCTCCAAACCACCTCCCCTCTTTTCCAGCCTTTCGTCCTCCCTTTGACGAGCTGAGGTTGGAGGCATTCGGGATGCTGTACCTCCTCTGAAAAACAGAGATGAGGAAAGGAAGATTTTCTGCAAAAAAAAAAAAAACACAAACAAAGGAAAAATACTACCCAAGCAATCCTTGAGTCACAGAGCTGGAAAGGAGCATCTCGCACACCTTCCCCAGGGCAGAACCCATTGCTCTCATGGCATTTCTCCCAAAGGTGTCTCTCACCTCTTCTTTAAAGCCCCTGCATCCATCACCCTTTTCCCTGCAAATGAGTCTGGTGCTGAATTCTTCCTTCTGCAAGGAATGTATTGTCCCTGTGTCTAAAACTGATTGCTTTGGCATTCAATCTAACCTGCAGCTTAGAACGGAGGTGGGGAATGGTTTTTGGTTTTGTTTTGCTTTAATATTCGTAGCAGCTGTTTTGCCTTTCAAAATGTGCGTGTTGTTAGTGGAGATAATTTTCTGGTTGCTTTGACCAAAGCAGTGATTTTAGAAGGACTTTGGACACTAGGACAGTGGTGGCATTGCTGGCTTTTGCAGCAAGATGAACTCTCACATATTTGACTGGGCTTTTTTAAATGTTGGGGTCTTGTCTTGGAAAAACAGTTCAAGATCTCTAAACCAGGCAGCAGCTTGGTGCAAATTGTGTCTGGGTAAGAGGGGAATGAGCATGAGTGATGCACCACCAATACAACATGACCTTCGTCTGCTAATGGTGAAGAGACTTGGGGAATTGAGGCAGAGAGGTCAAACCAGATAAGGCAACAGCTCCTCCTGCCTTCCAGGTATTGCAGGACTTGCCTTCCTCCCTGTGTTGCCCCTGAGGGATGATCCTTCCTTCTTCATATCTTGCAGACCAGCATCTCCATAGAGATCAGGTACCAGGCTCTGGATGGGACAGTGGGCACGTGGAATGACAAGGAATTCCTGGAGACTCCCAGTGTCCACTCAGAAGGGGACGGCAGGTACCCTCTGGAGACAGACAGCCTCCTCTCCGGCCATCGGCAGGGCACAGACGGGTCTGTGGGCAAATCCAACCAGCAGTCTGCAGAGAGAAGCTTCAGGAGGTAATGTGAAAACCAGTGCACAATGGCGTGTGGGAGCAGCAGGGCTGGGGAGGGCTTGGCTTGGCACCAAGGGACAGCACCGTCCCAGCACCTGAGGAGCTCCACATCTGAGCAGCCATCAGGAGATCCAAGCCACAGCTCAATGTAGGTCCCTTTGCTCCAGCCTGCCTGCCCAGCACAGAGTCTTCCAGCAAATATCCAGGTTTGGAGCACATGATTGGCTTGCAAATGTAGTGATATACAGATCTGGGGAGGATTAAAGGTTCAGTTGTTGGCCAGGCCTCGTCTTCCTGGATGTTATTAGAGCTATTTGCAGATGTCTGGGGTCTTGCATCTTGGTGGGGCTCACAGTTCTCCCAGGATTCAGCCCCCACAAGGCAGGAGGTGGAGGTGAATGAAGCTGCAGCTGTATGGGGACAGGAGGATAGGTTGGCCATGAAACCAAAACAGTGCAGATTCTTCAGGAGTAGAAGGTGGTGGTGTCTTTGACCTGTTGGGAGCATTATGAGTATGCGTGTCTCATGGTGAGGCTGGAGGAGAAACTGGGGATTCTGGAACAGGGGAGGTGACAGAGCCCTTGTGCCTCTGTATGTCACCAGGCTTAAATGAAATCCTGTCCCAAATGCAGTGTTGTGGCAGGTGAGTCCCATTTGGATTAGCTGAGGACCCTTTCCCCGTGATGGCACATGGGAACACATCCAGTACTCTAAAGGGTGCTGTCACCAGCTTTCTATTAACTTAAGGCTCCTTGGCATCACGGGAGAACTTGTGGGGAACCGTGATGTTTTCTAAGCCCGTAGGATGTAACAACAGGTGAAAACAAGCCTATGAGTGGTCCCTTTCCATTTCTTGACACAAAGCTGCTGTAATAAGTCACAGATGCAGCCTGGTCACTGGCATGAGTGGAGATGGCTCAGGACTGGGGCACTGCAGATGGTTGTCCACTGGGATGAAGTGAAAGCTGGGATCGGTTCTGCGTGAGCTGTTGCTTATGGATGCTTATGGATGCTTATAGATTCTGTGAGGAGCCTTTACCACCTCAAATGCCATCCATGAGGCCAAGGCACGGATGCGGACTGAGGTCAAGAGCCACAGTGATGCTGGCTCAGTTTCATCGCACCCCATGCTCAAATCCTGACACAGCTCTTCAAGTAGAAGAAGAGTTTTGCAAATGTAAAGCCACCTGTGCATATCTGTATTGTTTCCATGGGCTGCTAAACCAGATTTTCAGCCAAATTTACAGTAGCCATGTTGTCCATGACAATGACTCCATCTGTCTGTCCCAATAGCTCTTGAGCTGAACAGGAAGAGTAGAGACCTCAAGGTCCACTTTGCTCAAAGTCTTGTGAGAAGAGATAAGCAGGTAGAGGGGAAAGGTTGCACATGGGGAAGGCAGAGGGAGTGGAGCTGGGTGCACAGTGCTCTCCCAGGACCATACAGCCCCTGGATGATTGTCCCAGTCCAACAGTATGCAAGGAACCAGCAGGTCAGAGGCAGACAGCCCTGGTGTTTGCAAACCCATAAGGGAACCCAGCTTGGAGGGGTGAATCCAAGCATAATCCTATTAAACAACTGCTTTTCAACAAGCATTTACATTTCTAGCACTGATGAAACCATACATCCCCCACTCTGAGCTTCTGCAGTGGTGTGCTTCAACAGTGTTTGCTTTCTTCCTGTGTTTAGCACTTTATTACAACTATATAAGGGCAACATTTCTTTTTCCCCACGGTGAGAGATTGAGGGAAGTTATCCCCAGCTGCTCACATCACTCCTAGGCACTTAATTAACTGTGTGAATTGGGCTGAAACCTGCGAGTTTTCAAGCAAATGAAAAGTGCAGACTCGTTTCCCAGCTTGGTGAACCGTGATGTTGCCAAAGAGGAGACGATGTTGAAGGGATTGAAGGGTTTTCCTGCAGCAGAAGCCTGCAGAGTGTGGGATGAGTTGTGCTTAAAGGTTCTGGAAAGGGGCTGTAGAGTCTAACTAAGATGTCCAGCTCAGTTGGAGGTGGGAGACAGCTCCTGTAGACCTACAGATGCTACCAGGGCACATTTCAGAGAGGTTTGCTGAGCACCCCTGCAGGATGCACAGGGGCACGTGGTGGCTGCAGGCTGCTGAGTAGGTGCAGGACTCTCTGAGACTGGTTTGCATGTCCTCGCCACTGGAGAGCAGACACCTCCAAAAAAGCAAGGCATGCTCTTTCCACTGTCCCAAGCAAGACAGAATGTGGATAATTGCACTAAAACTCAAAGATGGCCCAGGGTTCAACCCACTGCTTTGGTCCCAAGGAGCTCCCCTGTGCCCTCTGGATGGAGACTTGCCCTGCATCAAAGCACTTTGCTCTGCCTTGCTGCTCTACACTCATCCTTGCCAATCTCAGGTGCTGTTGGTCATTGATGTCAGCACCAATAGGTACAGTAAGCAGGGAAAGGGCTGATGTTTTCCATGTCACCACTGTCACAGGATGGAAGAGGACGAGATGTATTATCACAGCGAGGATGAACTTCTGGGAGAGGGGGACACCCTCAGCCAGGGTTCCCTCAACACGAGGTAGGGTGCTGATGGCGTTTGCAGTGCTGTGCTGCTCCTGTCCCTGAAGATGTGCCACAAGCATCACAGCTGGATTTCCACCTCTCAGCTGCGGGAGAACTGGTGGGGAACTGTGATGGGGCAGTTGTAGAAGCATCCTTGGAAAGGACGCTCAGCTGCCAGGAGGAGCACTGGGATCCCAGAGAAATGGCCTTGGTGTGGGATGAGCTCCCTGTGACGTGCATGAAAGTGTGATATCTCTTTGCGGTGGTTTTTCTTGCTATGCAGTGCTGATTTGCTCCCCACCTTGTCCCAGAAAGAGTTTGAGAAGAGATGCAGCAAAGAGAAGTTCAGGTAAACCCAAGCAACAAGCTGATGCCATAGGCCAGACCCAAAGGGCAGACTGAAATTTCCCATCCAGAACTTCTGTTTGGATGAGGCAGAGTTGGCTGCCAGGTAGTTTGCCTCCAAAGGCAGGAGAGTGTCCCTGCAGTATTCATTTTGCTGTGTAGAGAAGCGTGGCAGTTTTTCATACCCAGAAAGCAGGAAGAAATCTTGGCAGCTCTGTAACAGTGTCTTCACGGGCTGCTTCCATCATCTGTGTCCTCCTAGGGGGGACTTCAGATCCAACTGAAGGCAACGGGAAAATCTCCCTGGATTTCCACTGTCAGCATCATCTCCATCACAAAGCTCCCTCTTCCCTTGGCTCATTAGCAACATCATTTTATTATCCAGCTGAATCCCTTTGCTGAGAGGAAGCAGAGGTGGGGAAAAAAGTGGGCCTTGATATGTGAAGAGCAGCAGCCACAACCAGGAGCATGAAGATGGCCAAACTTTTGTCTTTACTTAGCAGTTTGGTGCAGGAGCTCAAAGCTGTGTGCAAGCAGATGGGAATGGATGACCAGGTTAATAGGATCACTGTCATCTCCTGTCATTGGGTGGCTTAGATGGTCCTTAGGTCCAGGAGCTGTTCTGGGGGGAAGACGGTGGGGATGATGGGGATGTTGAGGGTGATGGGGATGTTGAGGGTGATGGGGATGCTATGGCATTGAGCAGTTTCCCAACAGAGAACAAGGGTTGTATTACATCCCTTCACCACCCTGCCCTTCACACAAAGCCCACAGGGATGGTCATTTGCTCCTCATAAAGGCCCAGCATGGTTCCTGGTAAGAAAGTGCAGCCGCAAAACTATTCTGCTCTTTTTCCTCCACAACAGGGAAAAAATACCAATGAGCCTGGAGCACCTCCTGTGCTCCCTGCTGATGGCTCAGGCTGAGACAAATAGCACAGAGCAGACATCAGGCTGCAGTCAATAAGAAAGCAGGCTGGAAGCCTGTTTTGTGTTCAGCAGCAGCAGCCTTGGAGCTAAATGGCATCACCTCCAGCAGGAGCTCCCCCAAAACCCATAGTGGATTGCTCAGGGAGGCTACAAAAGACCTCACCCTTTGTGGTCTCCTTTTATGACCCATCATACAGGAGCTGGTGTCTGCTATTTCATGCTGAATAACAGCAGGTGGCTGTTACTTTGGGCACAAGTTCTTATAGCACAGCCTCCGTGCTTCTTCATGGCTTAACCCCTGTGGGCCAGTGGATCTCTTGGGAGCCTGGGATCACCCTCTGATTGCACACAGTAGCTGCACACAGCCCGAGCTAGGGACTGCAGCACTGCAGGAGCTGCTCTTATTATTCCATCCATGCGAACCATGGAACCATGTGTGTTTCTTGAAAGCAAGCCATTATTCCCTTATTTCTATGATATTTGAATGTTAAGTTAGAGAAAATTAGGGAGAGGGAGACTGTAGCTTTGTGCATGAGGTGAACATCTCTGCACCAGGTCACAGAGCACCTCCCTACCGTCCCTATTGCAGCTGGAGTCCAGCAGCAGACCTCTGCTGACCACTTCTGGCAGCTCACTGGGTGTTTTGCACAGAGCTTTTGGGCAGCCGAGCAAGATGGAGACGAGACAAGAAGGCAGCTGTTGTAAGCGAGGATGAGGGAAGCCAAAAAGCCCCTCCAAAAAGCGAGATGGTCTCATACATTGAGGGGCACTGAAGCAATGTGGATTGGGAAGAAGCAGACAACCTCAGCATTAAGGAGCAATCCAGTCCCCGTGACTCTCAACAGGAGCAGCCAAGAAAGCAGGGAACAGCACTTGAAACAAGAAGGCATTTTCCCTTTTTTTTTTTTCTTTAATATACAAGAGTTTGCCCTTTGTGCTTTTGCTGGGGAGGCAGTCAGTGTGCTTTGGGATAGCTGAAAATTAGCTTGGTGCCCACTGCCTCCATGCAGTCAGCACAGGGCACAGCACCAACCCAACACAGCCCTTTCCAGCCTGAGCCACTTTTCTCTTAGAGCAAGGCAGAAGGGAGGAAAGAGGTCAGGATGGATGGGACTGGTTCACTTCCACCCTAATGGGGAGCCCATCCAGATCAACCAGTTTGACCAGCAGAAGGTTCAGCTTAGTGCTTTTCG